CCCGCGATCTGAGGGTCACGGCCTGGCTCGCGAGCGACGCGCCCGCGGACGGCGCGGCGCCGCGGAAGGCGCGCCGCGTGTCGTTCGCGGACGGCCGCGACGACCGCGCGCACTGGCTCGACCGCCGCGAGCCGGCGCTCGCGGGGCTCCTGGCGCCCGACGGCCAGCTCGTCGAGGGCGGCGGGCCGGGCAACGCGTTCCTGGACCGGTGCGCGGCCGCGGCGCGCGTCGCGGGCGCGGGAGCCGGCGGCGGCGCGTACCTCGGCGCGCTCGCGGCGGGCGCGGCCTGGAGCGGCGTGCTCGGGCCCGGGTCGCCGAGCCGCCTCGACGTGTATTTGCGGGAGAGCGGCCAGCCGGCCTACGCGTCCCTGCGGCGCCGGCGCCAGCTCGCCGCGCGGGCGGGAGACGTCGCCGCCGCCGCGGAAGCTTTAGGCGACGCCGAGGCCGCGCGCGGCGGCGCGGCGCGCCTCGAGGCCGCCGCCGCGGCCTACGCGGCGCGTCTGGCGCTGTCGGGCGACGACCTCGCCTTCACGTCCGCCAAGGCGCGCATGCTGCGGTCCTGCGCGTCCGACGCGCGCGGCCGCGCGGCCGCCGCGCGGCTCGCGCGGCTCGCGCCGAAAGACCAAAGCGACGCGGGCCTCGCCCTCGACGCCTGGGCCTTCGAGCTCGACCTCGCCCTCGGCGACTGGGGCCGCGCGGCGGCCAAGGCCAATACGGACCCCGGGGAGCGCGTGCCCCGGCTCGCGCGCGAGCTGCTGGATCGCGGCGCGGCCGCGCGGCTCGTCGCGGCGCCCTGGGGCGACGGCCACGCGCTCGTCGACGCCGCGCTGTTGAAGTTGGCGCGGCGCGACCCCGTCGACGACGCCTTCGCGGCGGACTTCCTCGGCTACGACGACCGCTGCCGCTTCGACGCCGCGCGATCCGTCGACGCGTACAAGATCGCCGCGGCGCTCCGCGTCGGGGCCCGCGACTTCGCCGGCGCGGCGGCGGTCTTCGTCGAGGTCGCGGGGCGCCTGGACGGGCTGCAC